TGTGTATGTATATATATATATATGTGTGTGTGTGTGTGTGTGTGTGTGTGTGTGTGTATATATATATATTTATATATATAAATGTAAAATACTAATTACTTTAGCAATTTTATGCACAATTTTGTTTCCTGTCTCTATATACTGTATGTTTTGGAGGTAGGTATAGGCCCCTGAAAAAAAAAGCAATATCAGCTGACCACAATTTATATCTTGTGATTGTAAAATATAAAAATGCTTGACATGTTCTTTAGAAAGCACAGCTTAACAGCTTTCACAGGACAAAGACTTGCCAGTTTCAGGCCCTTAGTAAGTTTTCCTAATTCACACAATAAACGTGACGATGAAAAGTTTCTGTGCTGCAAACTACACCAAACTGTGGAAGAATACGAGTGTTGTTCCTAATGAAAGCTGGAGCAGTCTGTGCGGGTTTGGAGCGCTGTTTGTTTGTGTTTGTGAGGAACGGCTGGGGGCTGCAGGTAGAAAAGAGCTTCAGATTTGGGGAGAGAGTCTGACAGCATGCTGGGACCCTGCGCACAGCTCATATTCATCTGAAAGACAACTGAGACCTCTTGACAGAACGAAACCACATACCAAAAAAATGTTTACATCCTGAAAACACTATGATTGCAACAAAAAAGCAAATCATATCAATCTTGCGTCTTTTGATCACACTTTGTTTGTGCTTTTGTCAGATGGCAAGTGGGGAATTTACTCGGGGGTGATTCCAAATATTTAGAGAGGATTCTCAACATGTAAAGGCTTTATAAATATAGTGAGGATGTTACACAAATAATACAACTCTGGAGGTCACAACATGACATGCTAATGAACAACCACAACTTAATGAAGTCCTTCAGCGCCTGTTCAGTCCCTGTGCAACAGAGAAAATCCTGGAGTCTGCTTCCAATACCTCAATATATCCTGAATGTTGCACCAGTTATGGTACAGTTATGTATCAGTATGTTCTATGCTGGGCCACGATTCAAGCATTGTTTAGATCATGAACGCCGCTATATTTCACCCTCTTTTTGCTGGTTTGTGGTTTTGGGGACCCACAGCACTCCACTTTTTGTATGCGTGTACAGCTATTTCTAAAATGTCATTTTAAACATTTTATTTTTTAAAAAACAGAAAAAAAGATTATTCTAAAACTGCAAACGAGTTAAAAAATGATTGGTTTCACTTCATTTTAAAGTGATGTTGTTACAGTATAATTACACAAATAAGTACTGAATATGTACTTACTATTGGGTTTAGATAGGGTTTGGTTCAGAGTTAGTTGTTTGTAATCATTATGTAACAGCTGTAATAGTAAGTACATGTAACACACTCTAAATGCATATAGTTGCAAGTTAAAAATTCTAATTGATTGATTTAAAGGGGTCATATGATGCTGCTAAAAAGAACATTATTTGGTGTAATGAAATGTGTTTATGCGGTTTATGAATTTTGTAGGATGTCAGACAGCTTCTCGGGATAAATGCATGCGTTATGCAACACCGTTATTTCCACGCGCTCAAGTGCGCAAATTGAAGGATCGTGTGTATGCGCGAGCTTCGTGAGCAACTATAATACCCAAAGATGTGCTTTATGAACTACTTGATGTGTGACAGTGATTGCAAGGGTCGGAATGCATCGGAAACGCGCTGTTTTATGTCTGCTGGTCTCATTGG